ACACACACACACACACACACACACACACACACACACACACACACACAAAAAGAACCATTTACAGTGTATAGCTTATATCCAACGTTTGTGCAAATCAAAGTGGAGCAGCTTCTCCCAGCTGTTCTACAAACATCTTGTGAATCTTACTTAGTGCCGAGTTTGTGTGGCTTCTTTCCGTCTGCTGCGTCTTTAGGCTCAGTTCAACGCTCTTCTCCTGCTGCTCTCTCTGCAGCCCTGTGAGACACGCGTTCACATGTTTATTTTCACACAGTTTTAAGTTCAAAATGAGATTGGAGTTTATCGTATCGACAGTAACGGTAGAGTGTGGTGCTAATTGTAAAGACTTAGAATAAAGCAGCACTCACCACTGATGTGATTTGTTTCCGTGCCATTAGCAGCGTGTTGGACCTTCCTCTGTGATGAATTCACCTCTCTGGTGAGTGAAATGATTTTCATGACTAGAAAAAAATGAACATTTATGAAAGATTAAATCGGCGTATGATAAGACGTTTAAAGACATTCTGACGTGTGCTGCAAAACAATAAACAAAAATAATTCAAAGTTTGACTCCAGGCAAACTTACTCAGAAATGTATCGCTATCAATCGTCCCCAGAAGCTGATTCATCTTGCTGAGTAACTGGGTTTGATAAGCTGTCCAGGGATGAAAGACACAGTTTAACTTTGCTTTACGTCGTTACGTGTGTATCAGCTGGACATATGCCACACACTGTATGTAGAGTACGATTTACAGTTAAAACGCTTACAGCCAGCGATAGCCGAGGCTGTGGAGCTGCATGTTGCAAGTTGCAGTTTCAGCAGTCTGACTTCCCCCCTCAACCCGAAGGCTTCATCATCTGTCAGGAAGAGCGCATTGGTTAAATCAGAGACTACCCACTGATGTTCCTCAGGCTCTAAAAAACAGATCAATACTCACCCAGTTGGCTGATGCGGTGAGTTGTCTGCTGAAACTGAATGTTGAGATGTGCCAGCTGTTCCTTCATACCTGACCACGCATGTTAGTAGTTCAGGAAGATAATAAGAGAGAATATGTTGACGTGGTGTTACAGTGTGTCCTCTACATCAGGATGAACCGTTGTGTGCACTTGAAATGGGAGACTTTACAATTAAACGAACACTCACCAGTACAAGTTTTGGAAATAATTGACTGTGAAGGAACAAAATAGATTGACACACATGACAAGGTGTATATGAAGTGGGTTAAAAATAAAGCATTGTTGAATATGTTTGAGATTGTTGTAAAAACCTTTCCGCTACGCACCGTTACATTTATATTCCTCGGGTCAATTCCTTCCGGTAGGGTTATCTGAAGTCAACGTGATAGAAGATAGAACATTAAAAGTTCCCAGTTTGCAACATGAATGTGTTTTATCTCACTCAAAACAGTTTCGGGGACTCACCAGGATCTTCGAAAGGATGTCGTCCACCTCTGGATTTCCCAAAGGACCGTTTAAATGAATCTCTTCCTGTTGGACTGAGAAAAGAGATACAATTCAGCATCATCAACTGAATGTAACTGCTTAAACATTTCATTCACTGCTCACTAACCAAGCACTACGGAGGGATTACGTATGTTTACAATCGGTTTGGGGTTTTGTCATCCTGATCGTCTGTACTGTCATTTTCATCATTTTCATCTAACGACAGAGGATATTCTGTGATATTGGGCTGTATAAAATAAAATTGACTTGACTTACCATGTCTGTTGTCAGAAGCTTGAAAGACACAAGACAAAAGGAAGGGAATCCAAACGAAGCGAGAGCCCCTGGCCATTGCAATAATGTTCCTCTCCTACCGAACGGCCTAATGCTTTTTATACACCGCTGATCGGTCAATGTCCGAAAGAAAGGAGGCGTAAACCAACACGGACTAAATCTCCAGTGCCAAGAAGTAGAGGTTGCATTAGATATGGTGTTGCAGAGTTGTTTGTTTGTCTTCAGAAAACATTGTGGCAACACTAAATGGAGGTCAGGGTCCCAGATGGCCAACATTTAGGAATCAGGTACAAATCTACTAATACTGCTGCACTAGTAACAAACTGTAGAAAGAACGCTTCATGTGCGTCCTGACATATTTTGTTAGTTTTTGAATAACATCAAATCTGCTGTAAAAGAGTAATCACTTTATTTAGGAGTGATTCAGTATCTGCTTTGTCTGACTAGTGATCTGCAGCTTCTTCCTCTGTTTACAGTATTTCCTGTTGATAATGATTGACTAAATGGTTTTGATTCTGGTCGTTTCTTGCAATAAGGTAGTGTAACAGTAAATGTTTAAAGAGTTTTTCCTGCTGATTTTGTTTGGCGAGTAATGACCACGTAACCTTAAACCTGACATTAACGTAATCCTGACATTATTAAACCTAAAGAAGAAAGAACCGCAACTATTCACACATCATATGTAGGCGATAACCTGCACGAATAACTCCAACTCACTAGCTGTTACACTAATGGCAGACATGTTAAATGCAGAGATATTTGCATGCAAGCAGGCCATTGAATCATAACGCCACCATGTTCCGCTTCAATCTGTACAGAATATAAGTTTACCATAACAAAAAGTAGAATATGATTTAAGATTTGTTTGTTTTCACATTAAAAAGGGAGAGTAACAGCGTCCCCTTTACAGTTTTTAGAAGGTTAGATTGTTTATATTATAAGAGGACATTTGAACCTCTATAAACAATAATTGCGCATTAAACAAGTAAAAGCATTGCTAAACAAATCCTAAACTCTGAAGAAAAAGAGAAAGCCGCTGCACGTGCCCACGAGCGTTTCCAGTTATTGATCGGACCTCTGCTGGGAATTAGGAGTCAGTTTACTAAAAACCAAGACAAGAGGTCGCCCTTGGAAACGACTGATAAGGAAGTCGATTGCTTTCAAAATCTTTAACACAGCAAATATATAGTATTCTGCAGAACTGTTATCAGGATTTAGAGTTACAAAGTGATTTTCTAGGGAAAAAATGAACTGCATACAAAGTATCACGACAATGTAGTTTTGTTACACTCGAGGGACTTCATTCAAATGACTTACAAGGAAGAAACCAGGTCCCACCAGTAGCCCCACTCTTTATGTGTTCTTGATCCAATCTTGTAACTAAAACAATAATCCACCCACCAATGGGCCAACAGATACACTGGGAATCATAACGTGAACAACTAGTTACACATGCTACAGGACAGAAATAAAATGCATGCTATGAGTACAGTAGCATGACTGCAGCTGCAAGAAGAGTGCACATTCCTGTAGATCCCACCACGAGATTATGTATCACATTCATAGCAGGGAAGTTACTGCACGTGCAGCACTCTGTGTTTGGCCGGTATTTCCTTCATAGTATTAGAGCAGCGAATCCGCACAGACGTCATAACCTCAGCCTCTCTTCTCTATCAAAAACACAGAATATGAAACAAACACCTTCTTTTTTTTTTAGCACTGCTAAGCCTCCGTTTCTACTGTGAACACACGAGCCCGACACTAGGCACAGTAATTGGTGTATTTTTAGGAAGACTATAGCGCCATCTTGTGTGAAACGTGAGTTAAACCAAAGACCAGTTCCGACACTCACAGTAAGATAGTTCCCTGATGTTTCGGGGCCTATCGTTATGCATAAACTGATGTAAAAGTATACCACAACAGCCTACAACCGTGCCAACATCGGAATATGTTGTTAACAAGCAAGTAGAGTAATAGCAGGTCGCTCAAACACGACACCTACATTTGTGTTTCACTCATTTAACGAAATAGTTGACACCGAAACGCCATCGGTAGCTCACTAAACCGACGCATCTCTAAAACTCCACTCTTTGCTTCGTCTGGCGTCTTCTCGCGATATTACGACTAAAGACTACGGCGCCTTGGTAGCCTTGTAAATAACATTGGTCACATTGTAGCTCGCGGCACTAGTCACTGATATAATAACAGCAGCTTTAGGCAGACGTGACATTTGACTACCGATACGTTTCCTTGTCGGTTTTCTCGGAAGAGCTAAAATTGAGTTCCAGCGCTGTCTGTGGAATAAGGTCAGTGTCTTTTATTCAAGCGAATTCTTTAGATTTTCAAGTCCACAATCTGTGTTGAATAACAGTAAATCCTCTGATTATCATGCTTTACAAAGTGATAAAATCCTCTCGCATAACCAGACGTCACTTTCTCCTAAAAGTATCTTATCTTAACAAGAACATTTAGGCACATGTGTAACATAAGTGAGTTAATATGACATAAGAACGAGACAGTGAATTTAGTTTGAGTTCGTTACTTAAGTTTTTGTTTTTTCTCGTTGTATTAGAAACAGATGTTTCTGATTGTATTATTACATCGTCATAGTCCAGAGCATCACAACTAATAATACACTTTTATTATGTCGTATTATCGTCCTCTAACGTTCATCAATAGCACTGCTATGCCATTTTAAAGAATGCGTATGTGATCGGGGCAAAGTTTACCTTTATTCATGATCAGTAACTTTATCACTGATAAATCACTGACATCATGATAAGGCAGCAGTCAACTGCACATGCGCAATGCTGAGAAACAGTGACTGGACCAAAATGAGTTGTGCAAGGCAGAAAAATAAATCGCTCCTCTAGATTTTAAGTGAACTCTGGACAGTTGGCTGGCCATGTTGTAATTTTTTATTTTTTTTAAAATCTCCCAGTTGGCCTCAGATGATATGTAACTGAGCTTATTTCTTATCTTACGTGGTGTTGCTTCCTCCCACAGAGAGAATGTCCTTGTCTGGCTGGGTGTGTGTAGTAACAGGGGCCTCCAGAGGCATCGGCCGGGGTATAGCTCTCCAGCTGTCTGAGGCAGGGGCCACCGTCTACATCACAGGGCGCCAGGAGACCACTCTGAAAGAGACCGCTGCACAGGTGACGGTTTGAGCTTGACTTTCTTACAAGGGCTGCAATCAGACAGTGGTATATAGTGAAGGATGTCAGTGTCTCTCACCGACAACGGTGCAATACATTTGTGTTCTGTAGGCTCAGCCGAGGTCCCGATGACTTCCAAAGTGTCGCACCTGAAATGTTTTTAGTTTCCTGCAGTGTCGTTTTGTGTCTTTCAAGTCTATTTGTCTCTATGGTTCGCGGCGGACACGTTTGTTCTCAACACAGGTGAAGGAGAGGGGGGGAAACTGTGTGCCGGTTATCTGCGATTCCACGAAAGACAAAGACATCGAAGACCTGTTTGAACGGATCAAGCGTGAGCAGAATGGCCGGCTGGACATCCTGGTGAACAACGCCTACGCTGGAGTCCAGGTAGATTACACTAGAGTAAACACTACTCCAGCGCGCACTTGAATTACTTGTTGAACACTTAACGTGGAGTAAAGCAGCGTGAACGTAATGGAACAACATTAAAGAGCGCCAAGCTTAAACTTTAGACTGCGTGTCTTCTAAAACATGATGGGTTATTCCAGGCCATCTTCCAAAACATGGGGAACAAGTTCTGGGAAACCGATCCAACCATTTGGGATTCCATCAACAACACAGGCCTCAGGTATGCTTTTTTGCTTAGTCATGTCTGATAAGTCGACCGAGTCACCTCCTTGTGACTAGTGCTGGTTTTCCAGACGTCATCCGTTACTCATGTGATGTGTGGTGTGTTAACTGGAAATTCAAGCATTATTCATTTGCACTGCATTACAGGTATTCTACAAGCGAGTGGATAGGAATGATTTGACTGATTTCCATTTTTATTTATCTGGCAGGGGCCACTATTTCTTCTCAGTTTACGCGTCCCGGATGATGGTGGCTCAAGGTCGGGGTCTGATAGTCACAATTTCATCTATGGGGGGTCTGCGGTATCTCTTCAATGTGCCGTATGGCGTTGGCAAAGCCGCAGTAAGTCCCTCATTTAGTCCCAGATTTATGCTATCAAGAGCCACATATCATTAAAGTACATGTGCTGTAGAATTACGTCAGACAGTGTCATAAAAACCTGTTTCGTGGTGTGTTTCCAGTGTGACAGGCTGGCAGCAGACATGGCTGTTGAGCTTAAGAGCAGGGGCGTGGCTTCTGTCAGTCTGTGGCCGGGAGCGGTAAAAACAGAGTTGGTGTCTCAGATGATTTTGGACAAGGAAACACCACAGGGTGGAGATCCCAAGGTAGACTCTTCTCTAACAGCAAATCCTTATCCCCGGTAGCTATATCAGGTTTTTTTTGTTGTTGCTCAATCTCTGTTTTCTTTTGCTCAGTTCAAAGAACTGTTTGCCAATGGGGAATCCACAGAAGTGAGTGGGATGTGCATTGTCAACCTGGCAATAGGTGGGACTACCTCTTTAATTATTGCTGAGGAGCAGTTACTGGTTCAACTCTTATTCTTGTTCATTAGCAAACTCAGCATACATTCTCTTTCTTCTTAAAAGATAAACATCTGATGTCTCTGACGGGGAAAGTACTGATGACCTGTGACCTGGCAAGGCGCTATGGCATACGCGACATTGATGGTAAGTTTACATCGGCTGCCTATGTCGTTGCTTTTTTTACTTACTATTATGTACAGTCACGTGATCCTAATGTGTTGTTCATCTGTGTATTTCCAGGACGGAGTGTAGCTGATTACACGTCTCTGAAATTCCTCCTGACTCAGGTCCCGTATCTCTCCTGGCTGTCAGCTGTTGTCCCGTCATTCCTACGCCTGCCACGCTTTGTGCTCTCTCTGGCTAACAGCCGCTTCTAAACATGTCCTACATCAGCACTGACGTGGCGTACTATCAGACTGTCTGACGACTATATGGTCCAAATTCTAGCTAAACATATAGTTGCCATGTTTCGGATCAAATCCATCAAGCCAATGGGTGACAAGGTGCACTGACTAACAATATCTTTTGAAGGAGTATAATTGAAACTGATGTGTTTTTATATATATATATATATATATATATATATATATATATATATATATATTCCTACTTTCTTAATGAAGGCAGTTCTATGAAGTTTGAACAGCGTGAACATGAAGGAACATGAATTTAACATTAACACTGTTATCTGTGAGTGAAGCCTCACAATGTGAACATGATCTGAATGTATTATGATTACCACATGTTATGTATTTTCTTAAGCAGTATGCAAAATCTATTTACAAATGAAACATTTAAATGCTTTTGTATTTTTCACTAATTTGTAGCCTTGTTATATGTCTATTTAATGAATATACACTACTTCTATTACCACTACTACGGTATTTGACCGGCTATGTAACAACTGGTTAAATAAAGAAAGGTTAACTCGCTGCTGTTTCACTTCTCATTCCTTTATGCAAAATAACAAAGCATCTTCAGACTCATAGAAGCAGATGCGTCTTTAATAAAAAAGGGTTGGCTCTCTTGCAGAAAGATTAATATTTACATCTTGTCTATTACATTATTTAACGCTAACAATGAATTATAATTGCTACCTCTGACTCATATATATATATATATATATATATATATATATACCACTAAAACACAGCTGAATTGTTTTCAGTGAGAGGACATCGTGTCTGAAGCCGATCTGAATTCAGCATATTGCTCAAAGACAGTATCACTGGAACACTGTTGGTTGTTTGCGTCCATCTTGTTTAAAATACAAAGAGGAATTGAACAGGCTGTAAACTTGTTCTTGGGTTTATCAGCACGTCTGAACCGCTCCGGGTCTTATTTTAGGCGATATTTCAGGAATTGGTACACGGCCATAGTCATGGTTATAGAGATGATGTCAAGTCCCAAAGCTCAGATTAAAATGCTTTTAATTATTTGGATTTTTTGCGTATTTTATTGATTGACTTAAATGTTGAATTAACGGTTCCATTTGATTTTCTGCAAGTTGTATCTCAACTGGAATACCATCTTCTTTGTTTAGTTATTTGTTGGCTCAAAAGTAGTAGTATTTGTCTATGAAATACCACGATGTGTTAATGTTTGAGATGTTTAACATAACTTCTCCCGTTTTGCTAAAATTGCCACATTTCCAGAAAACACAGTCTCGTCGGTGGCCCGGACTGATCAGAAGCTTTATGATGTGGTCTTCAGGGAGGCTAGAAGGAGAGTTCCTGTAAGTCAAATATAAATGTTGTTTTCTGCTTTGAGTTAGGCCAGCAAGAGTTAAAGCAGTGTTTCTATTTAACAAGACGATGCGTCTCGTTTGTGGGCCTGGTGTGGTGGGGGACTGGTGGGTGGGTGACGTGAAACGTGTTTAGTCCACTGCCCTCGGATTTATTATACAGGCGCCTCCTCCCGCCAATCCACGGCCTGCTCTCCCAGACTGGCACACCCACCCCGCCGTCACTGTGTGGGAGAGTCGGTTGGGCCTTGTGGGCTTCCTGGTCCTCGGCTCCGCCTCGCCTCGATCTGACCGGACGGCGAAAACACTTCTCAGTTAAAGAACAAAAGCAACAACGGATGGACCGAGGAGGGCGAAGTAACGGCGACTCAGATTCCGACCTGAATCTCGCGGATTGAGATATTTGTTGCCTACACGGGGAAAGGACTAAACCGACGACTGAACTCCTTCGAAAAGGCGACAAACTTGGTCGCTTCGCATCTTTGTATCCCGACCGTAATCCGTCGAGGCGCTCGATAAATAAGACAAGGGTCAAACCGACAGACGGACGGTATTGTTTCCGTGCTCTTGCTCTAAACTTCGGCCATAAAAGGCGGAGTGGCGGAGGGCTAACTCCCGGTCTCCCTTTGTTTTCTTCACGCGTTTAACGGACCTTCGGGGATAACGGGGTAAAGCAGCGTTTTGGTAAGTTTATTTTTATGTTTCACTGAAGCGTGTCTGGCGGTGAAGTGCGCCTGTGCAGTGTGAAGCGTTTTAGTTAGTACGCCATAAAGGAGGAGGGGGGGTCGGAGACACTGGGCTGCTATTGTGGTTGGCTCCGAAAGCAACTTTTACAGCTTTTTGTCACAGTAAAACAAAATAATACAGCGTATTAACTCGTACAGTGCATTGAAGTAACACATCCTACGTCACCGCATGATCTCATCCCGTCGGTTTAGTGTGTCACGAATGACTAATACTCTGGTTTCATAATTGTTTGCTAATGTTTTTGGGACACTTAAACATTTCTAGCGTGGCTCAAGACACCGTAGTCGTCTCCTAACCGTACTTAAATGTGCAATATTTCTTCTGCTGTCCCAAATAAAGTACACTACTCTACAAGTGAAGAGTGGGCTACACGGTTACTTGAAAGACACTGTTCAACGAGGAGTCATGAATATAGTAATGTAATAACTGCAATGTGAGTAAAATCCTTGTATTTAGCCGTGTAACTACTAGACCTGTGATGGGTCGATGTGTTGGCTTAACACCTGTTGCTAAAGCACAAATTTACTTTTAGTTCCGGGCTTAGAGGGCCGAGACTTGGACTTGAGGGTGACTAATGCAACTCATTTTCTCCTTCCACAGGTCTCTCTTGTGGTATCTGCCTTTGTGAAGAGGCTACACTCATCTTTAGGGACCGAGGATCTGGGAGTGGAACAAAGCCGGACTGGGAAAGGGTGAGAAAGTAGACCGTGATGGATTTCTCATGGATCCCCATTCCCCGCGCACCCACCCCTTGCGACCGATCCCCCCACTCACACAAAACAAAAGTCAGTCACCACACTCTGGGGGAGGGGAACCCAGTCTGGACAGAGTATACGACTAGTTTCACTGGGAGTTCAGAATAAAGAGTGCGAAGTATGGGGGTGGGGGAGGGGAAACAGCTGTCAGATAATTGACTTTGAATGAGAACTGAAAGTTCTTTTAACATCATAGTTTGTACTCTTGGCTGTACTCGTCAGGCATCTTATCAGTGTTTGGCAGCTGAGACAAGTAGGAAAACAGCAACTAAATCTGTGTTTTTTTGTATTTCTTCTCTAGGTGAACGAGCCTGTTTTGATACCCCAGATGGCGACCTACAGTGAACACAATGGCAGAAATGGACTACTTATGGGCATGAAGGGGCATTTTGAAGGAAAAGTAACAAAGACAGAATGTGAAGGGAAACTCGAAGCTAAGCGCTCCTCCAAGGATTTGCGCCACTCAGCTGACGGCAACGTGAGCGGCGTGGCTAGTTTCACCACCAACCACAACTCTGTTGTGTGCCTGCCTCTAGTATCAGAGGGACTGAAGTTGGTATGGACGCAGTCGGATCAAACGCGTGAACTGGACACGATCTCGGAGCTGACCCAAGCTTTTAACTTATTTCCATACCCATCGTCTCGCGAGGTTAGCACCCTGGCTCGGGTATGTGCCTTGCCACTGGACAAAGTTAAGGTGTGGTTTATGGTGCAGAGAATTAAATACGGCATCAGCTGGTCCTCAGAGGAGATAGAGGAGACTCGGCGAAAGCTTGCAGTGCCTGAGCTTTGTGACGATGCTACTGAAACCAAGGAAGAAGCCGAAACGAAGAGCAAGAGTGGAAGTAGTGAGGAATTGGTAATTGAGGATAAGGATAACAACCAGGTAGAGGCTGTTCCCTCCAGCCCCCCAAAGAAGAAACTAAAGTGCGAGTCACCAGATTCCTATAAACCAGCCAAACCCTCTGCCCCGTGTTTCAGCTCCACCCTCCCACCCCCTCAGGATTCATACTTCTACCGCCCACCAGCGGAAACGCCAGCAAGCACGGCGGCCGATGTATCCCTCGACCTTTCGGAGTCGCCTTTGCGACAGCACCGCCACGGGCGCTACAAAAAGTCTAAAGCTCAGCTCGCTGCCCTTCGAAAGAGCTTTCTGAGAGAGAACTGGCCTGCGGAGGCAGAGCTCAGACGCTTGCAGGAAGAAACTGGACTGAGTCGTAACGACATTCGCAAGTGGTTCAGTGACAGCCGGTACCAGCTCAGGGTAGGCCGAGGGAGCCTGGCCGCAGCCCAGAACTACTCTCAGCACACTGGAGGTAAACAAGAACAACAAATCCAACCTCTCCCACTTATTACACAAAAGACCAGTCAACTAAACGGGGTGAAGGGCCAGGAGGCAGCCCGTAGCAATGGGATTAGAAATTCACATTTCTTCCAGACCTTTTTGTCCAACAGCCTGGAAGCATTCGGGGACAGGGTCCTTGAGGCAGAGGGGTATGACGGTATGGAGGAGCTTTCTGGTGACGGGGACAGTTTGAAAGATGAGGAACAAAGTGAAGAGCTGCCCCTGCAGCTGACCAAGACCTGCAAGATTGAGCCAGATGTTCCACAGGAACCATCGGGTGTATTAAAAACCTCTCCCTGCTCTTCCCCCTCTGGCAGCCCACCACCGACTGCCTTGCCTAATAAACCGCTTTCAAACAACATCAGCACATCAAAGAAGTCAGCTCACTCAGCCAAAGCCAGTCCCTCACAAACACCGTTGCGCGTCTCAAAGGCTCCCTCATCCACATCCCCTGCCCTCACTCCAGCTGGGCGACCAAGAAAGACCAAGGAGCAACTGGACGTGTTGAAGCAGCACTTCTTACGCTGCCAGTGGCCCAAGAGCGAAGATTACACTGAACTTGTTAAGCTTACAAATTTACCCCGGGCCGATGTTATTCAGTGGTTTGGGGACACGCGGTATGCCGTTAAAAATGGCCAGCTGCGCTGGGTGAAGGGGGTCCGTGACCAGTTCCTGGCAGAACTTGCAGCCCAGCAAAGCAGCAGTGGTTTGACTAACGGAAGTGGCTCTGGGACATCTACCCGGGCCGGGGGCCGCAAACGAAAGTCTCAAGTAAATGCAACAAGTGCAGATTTCCCTGATCTCCAGCCTCTGGTAACGTATTACCTTTCAACAGGCTCACTACATGAAAGAGACCTTGACTCTCTATGCAAGAAGTCTAAAATGAGCTACCAGCAAGTGCGAGATTGGTTTGCAGGTCAGGATGTTGGGGGTACTGAACAAAAACTGATTGTTGCTGATTAAGACCTCGGAACCAGACTCAAGAACATTTTTTTAGGTTGGTGGAGTGCTGCTCGCATCCTTTGCACCAACGAGCATTGTTGTTACTTTGGTTTAAATTGCTTTAATTTCGCAGGTTTCTAACATCCGGTCTTCCCAGCACAAGCCCAAAAAAGGTTTGTTTTTTATACATATGCTGCATTACCTGCTTATCCTAATATATATTTTGGACTTGAATTATAATTGTGTTGCTGTAAATAGGACAGTAACGTGTACACTGGTTTGTTATATTTTTTTGAGCTTATGTTTGTTTAGATATCTCTACTACAGAATTTTTAGTATGCTATTGTAGCAGTATAATTTAAACAGGTTGTACTCGTAGTACCTGACTAAAGCAGACAAGTAACTGTTCCAGAAAGATGTCTCTGTTGATGAATCTGTTGACTGATCACTGTGTGTAATCATTCCTTTACAGCCAATAATTCCTTGTCATGAAAAGCACACTGGACATGTACACTTTAAATTGACATCCTGCACTTTGGTTTTAGAGCCTGCTGTCATATTCATTAAATCCAATTATTTTACAAAACATTAGATTTTGATCCCTTAACACTGAAACCTATTATCATGCCTTTTTGAAAACATGGTCCATCTGATTCTACTAACGTCTCTAAAGCATATTTCTGAAACACATTCCCAGATTCTCCTTTAGACGCTCTGGTGTAAGACTTGATTCACGAGGATAATGGTACCAAGTGAGCAGCGTTCACATCAACGGCACACAGATGTCAGAATTGCCAACTTCAATTCTGATTTGCACTCATTAATTCAGTCAGTATTTGTATATCTATTTTGTATTAATAGCTATAGAGTGTGACTTGATGGTTTATAATCTAGAAAAACTAGAGGAAATAACGGATGGTGGGGTCCACGTACTGTATAAGTAGCAAATGGTTTGAATCCAAAGAAAACATACATTTCTAATAACTCAAATTATGAACTGTAGCACAAACATTACACATTCAGGTCATCCGTTCAGAAAACCCCACATTTTAAAGTACATCTTAGTAGACTTAGGGGGGGGGGCGAAGTGGGCAGAGTTCAGTTCATTAGGAAAGTCTGGATATACGTTAGATGAGCAGAATGTCGATAAAGCAGTGTCCGTCGCTGTGTTCGGTCATTCTTTTAGTAATGAAAAGTTAATGCAAGTGTCATGCTGTGGGGAGATGTCCATAATGCTTAGTGTTTTCCTTTGCCGATGTCTTCCATGTATGAAAAAAAAAAAAAAAAATCCTTTATTTGCACAATTGTGTCACTGGAAACCAGTAAAGGATTTGTCTTTCTAATCATGTGTGTAAGCCATGTTTTTTGTGTGTGTGCTGTAATGACTGCGACTGGTTCGGACAGATCACATTTATTTTTTCATTATATGTAAATTCTCTGCAGAAATGGTGGTAATATAAATTGTTGCTAAAGAAATGTATTGCCAGAAATAAATGGAGGGCCATTAGTCAACCAATGATCAATAACACAATTGGCAGATAAATCCATCAACAGAGGAACTGCATGGTAACAACATCCATGTAAACCGAACGGTTTCAAGTACTTTACATTAAATCATTGGTGTCAAGAGAAATTAAACAAACATATGGCTACACACTCCTTAATAACTGATAGAGGCCATTTCATTAATGTCTGGGTGAATGTATTGATAATCCATTAATAAACTGGAACGGGAAAACATTAGGTGTCTGACGCTGAATTCTGAGGATGACACAAATAGACTGACTCAGCGATTGCACGAGAACATTTTCCCATCAAGATGAATGTTTCATTACACGTTAATTGGAAAGCGTTTCTTACCTTGTAGGAGTGCTAAAGGATGTGGGTGTTCCTATTTAAAACAGGTGAAAGGATCTCGATTAAAGATAGAATATGCTGAATTTATCCAGTTTAATCACAGAACCTCTGGTCGAGCTACAGAAGCGTCTTTAATACTCACTGTGAAGGTATTCATGGAGAGAACTGTGGCTGGAAATAGAGGTTGCCGATCCAGGTGTCTGACAAAAACAATAGTACAGATTTAAAGTTCATAGTTGAATATTTGACTAGTACTGATGAGGACCTGGGTATAAATGTGTAGTGAGTGTAAAAATCAAGTTTTGACCACGGACATTATAATCTAACAAAAACACTCTTGATCTTGAACAACTCAATTTCTTGCCAATATCCTGTTGCTGGGCTCTTGGGCACCCGGCTCATAATTATGAGACTATAATCCATCATAAGCATATGAATTGCCATTTTCAACCTCTTCAGTGTCAAAATTAGCGGTGATTCATATTTATGAAAATCAAACTGGCCGCGCTCCCTCTGCACACGTCACTTCCGTTTTGTCTTGAGCAGAATTAAAACACATCTTACAAAAACTCTGAAACTATTTACTAAATCATTTTCCTACACATTGAGTTAACCTGCACGTTGCTCTTACTTACGAGCCCCTCCCTGAGGTTTCAACCTCATTTCATATTCTTCGTCAGTGGATGGAGTTGTCATGGAGATAGCATCTCCTTAACAGTAGAACAAACTCCAGAGCTCATGAAACACTTCGGTAAAAGCTATTTAGTTGACCGTGAATTACAAATGTATGTCACACTGTTATTATGTCGACACGGGTCTTTAAGAGTTGCAGAATAATCTAAGAACAGAGGTATTTATATTTTCTTCAGTATTTATTTCCACTAGGTCTACAAAACATTACAATGTAACTCTGAGACTTACTGTGAGGGAGGACAGACTGGGACCTCTGTCTCTGGCCAACCCGTGAGACTCTGCTGAGCCAAAGTAACTGAGACACAGACAACATGTTTGAGCATGGAAAGCAATCCTTTCATTAAGTGTTGATACACAACGATGTTGCAAATACAGAATGAAATCCATCAGAAAACAGAGTACGTACCTCATGGTTCTTGAACGAGGGGTAACTGATAAAAAGAGAACATACACATGTTCATCAACTTAAATTTTAAATGGACCACCAACACCAAAAAGAGTAACTGTAACAATTCAACTTAAAGCACAGGGTTTACCTGGAGAGGTGATAGCCACAGGGAGGGACATCCGTTGAGTTCTATATACGAGACAATAAGTTAAAAGTTTAAATACTGGAGAGTGTTTGTGAATAAACAGGGTAGTCCTGAAAGGGAAATTTGGTTTTACCCATTTGTATGAAACTGTCCTGGAGAAACCTGTGGCAAACACAAAGTGTGCAAGCTAAATTAAATATGTAACTTATTACCTCAACGTTGGCATTTTTAACTTTTTCTATATTAGACTTTCGGAGCACTTACCCTCCGCTGAGAAAGTGGCTTTTTCAAATCAGCAGTTTCTCTTTTCAGCTCTGAAAGCTGCTTTTTTAACTCAGCGTTCTCTCTTTTCAGCTCAGAGAGTTGCCTTATGATGACAGAAGTGGGAAGAATAGCGTTAGAATCGGGGGGGGGGGTTTATACACGGCCACAAAGGAACAACAACAACAACAACAACAACAACAACAGATATGGAAATCACCTGTAACCCTGCTCAGTGACTTCCTTCAGACGTCGTTCCAGTTCAACAGACTTATGCTGGAAGTGCGCCGTGACTCTCTCCGTCTGTGTCCGCTGAAAAAGGGCAATCTGAGGAGCACGAAGACCTCACTATCAAATAGTCTTTCAGTGAAAATAAAAACATCATGCGATTCAACTTTGGCTTTTGTATTAAAGCTCAGGGATTCCCAAATGATGCTGACCATTTGGGATGCTTTTAATCTAGTCAAATATCCCTCTAACTGAAGCAGTCTCTTGTTGACTCACTCACCGGTTACTAATTGACTGGCTGCTATGACATTTAAAGTCCCTGTATATCAATTACAATGACAGCAGAGAGGGAGCCTGGGTGGCCGCTGCACAGCAGAGACAGACCTGTGAAATGTGCTCCAGCCGTGACTGGATGAGCTTCACGGGGTCCTTGAAAAACACCTTTTCCTGTGGCTTCATCTGAAACAAAAATAATAGTGCAAATATAATAAGCTGGCTATGCAAAATAAGGTGATCAGACAGTATCCTGCCGTGCAGATGTCAAACTCACCAACCTCATCTGTGATGGGCAAGTAACTGCAGCTGGCCCCACACACACTGCACTGCTCTGCGGGGAAAGACAGAATCACAAGAACCATAACTAGCCGGCAACTGTCTAATTTGAGCAATGGTGTTAAAGTTACTACAAGGAACACTCATTTTGTGTCAATTTTGGCGGTCCGTTTGGATTAAAGTGGTAGTGTTTCTAAGCACCAGGTTCTCTTCAGAAAACCTCTAATTTTATTGCAGCAGGGTCTGGCAGTCTGCCCTGCTCAGTCCTGGTTCTGGTTCTCCCGTGCCTCCCTTCCCTCCAGCAGGCCCACGAATACAGCCTGGGTCTCCGGCAGCGTGTTGTCGGTGTTTGCTTCCACCAATCGCTGATGGTCTTGTTTACTTATGTAGGTCATATAGGGGCATCGGTAGTAATGAGGAGAACGTTTCACAACCAGTTAAAAGTTCCTCACAGTAACTTTGAATAATAATGGAAGCAAATTGACTTTGTGGATATAACCGTCTCACTAGATTTAATGCATGCTTCACAGCAGATGTGGCCACAGCTGGACACAGCAAACCTCGACCCTCTCCTTGTGAAGCACTGGTTACAGTGGAACCAGTCCATTTTATAGTCCTGTGGGGTTCCTCCTCTGCAAACACATGATACACAAATGTGAATATGTAACATGAAATATTACAGTATATGACCATAAGTATGTGGTCACACATTTTTATATTCTTTTAGTATTGGGACACTATCCCCCTGCACAAAGCCAGGTCTATAAAGAAATGGTTTACCCAATCTGGTGTGGAAGAACCTGACTGGCCTGTACAGAGCCTTGACCTCATCTCATACAACACCTTTGAGACAAAGTGGAACCAGGCATTAGCACCCAACTTGAGTCCCCCATGTCTCAACACTCCACTAGTGGAAACTACTGGCAATATATTAGCAAGAATACACATGTTTTTTTAAAGGCATGTTCAAAAGGTGTCAGGTATGATATTGTTGCCATTTGATGTACCATTATGTAGATACATTTTAAGTCTTTTTGTGACTTTTTTTTTACCATAATCACAAGTTAACACAATATAAATTCATCACATACACTCTCATGCAAAAAGTTAGCAATAGCTTAACCATTTTAGCATTAGGCTAGGGTATTTTGCAAAGACATAACCTCCCCACACACACACACACACACACACACACACCAGTACAGTTAGGTACATTTGTCTAACGTGAAGACAAAGCTAGCTAATGTTACTTATCCACAATGCTAAGAGGTTATACTATAGCCCCTTTTCACAGCAGTCATTTTGACTCGTCAGAGCAAGGTAATCACAGGTGTAATTCATTAAATTAATTGCAGTCCCATTCAATGTATTGTGTCACAGCCATTCCAGTGAGCCAGCATGCACAATTCCGTCCTGACAAGCCTAATGGAACAGGGCCATAAATAATATTACTTACACCTGTGTTCACCCTGCAATGACACCTCAAAATGGCTGCTGTGAAAAGAGCCTATTGGCTACCAAAGTGTTTGCTAGCTAACACTAGCTAACGTTAGCTTAAATTGTGGAACATCCACTTTGGCTCAAAACTTTCATTGAACTTTGTCTAGAGGATATCCGCACACTCGTCTTTATCTTGCCAACATTACCTGTTAATGTGCTCAGAGGTGAGTTAGTTGAAGTTTTAATCCTCGGATGATATTTCAGCTCAGCGCAGACGTCCCGCCTCAGCGCGAGAAGCGGATCTCGTGCTCTGTTCTGATTGACCGTGTGACGTAGTAAAACCCCCATTCTGAGCGTCTCGGATCAACATACAAATGACAGGTCTGCTATTGCAGTTAAGGCGAATTTAACCATCATGACATTAGACAAGTATGCCAGCTTGTTCTTAGACGTTTAAATAAGGTAGTCAGTAGGAATCAAACATGGTTTTAGTCATTTTTCATTAGAAAATTCACCCTTTCAAAAGAATAGAATTTTAAAATTGAATAGTTCAGCACAGAGTTGCAATTACCGTTACCCTTTGAATGCTGGTGATTTGTAGACCCGATTTAAACTACACTGGTTGCACAGTGTCCAAGTTCAAGAAATATTCACCTTAAAGCTTTATTAATCCTTGGCACAACATATGTGCTGGTGTGGTTTAAGACTGAATTATGTACCAAGGAGCAGTTGGCCAAGTATAAATGTTGGACCCATTTTGACAGGGTAATAATGTTTCTACGCATCAATAGAAAAAAATAAATAAATCCATTTAAATCTTGTTAAAACTTTTTATTTCTACATAAATAAAATGCTCAGTTTAGCTTTGAAATAGACCTGCTGGAAGAAAATTGACATGCCGAGATCATTCATTGTTAAAAATAAGACGCAGTGTCAATTTAGTTCTGTGTATTAAGGAGCCGATTCTGCTGTCTATTATTACCATGACCGTGATTAGGGATGTTCCCAGTGACAGCCCTTCAAACACTTTGGGAAATATTGATACAAATGTGCATGAAGATATTCCGACAGGTTTGTGCTTCTTGAAAATAGATCTTATCGTTAAAGCCATTGTATATGAAGTTGCTAACCAGATGTGCATTTCACCAAGAACAAGCTTTTTATGAAGAAAACACTCAAGCTTAATAATGGGAGAGCCTTCAGGTAGATAGTTACATCTTTAATGCTTCATTATGATCTGAACTGCAAAGAGACAGGCATCAAGCTTTCACAATCTCACAAAACGCAAGAATAAAAATCCAATTCAGATTGAAGGAGCCAGTGTGCAGGATG